GCTCCGGGGAGGCGGGCGGGGGTTGCGGGGAGAACCCGGGGGTGGGGGCAGCAGCTCCGCCATCTTGTGGATGCGAGGCCAAGTGACAGCTGGAGCTTAATCCGGGAGGGGGCTCTGGGAGGCGCGCGGGCCGTGGAGGGAAAGGGGCGTGGGGACAGTTACTGGAGAGCCGAAGAGGCCGGGAGGATAGACGGCGGGAGGCCGCTGGCTGGGCCCTCTTGGTGTCAGGGTTACTGGTAGGTAAGCCCCGGAGAGGAGGTGCTTTCAGGAGTCCGGCAGGAGAGCGCGGAATCGTGGGAGGACCTATGGGGACCAGGAAGGAAACGGGAGGGCTGGATGCAGTCGCATCTATGAGTGGCAGGGTTTGGAAAGCCAGGGCTGGTAGGAGACTGTAGTTTTGTAGAATGAAGTGGGAGATAGGCTGTGCTGGACCCAACTAATGTTGACAAACTCTCTTAAGGAAGAGGCCTTACTTAGGAAGATTAAGGACTGGGGATGGGGGGCGGGGGGCATGGTGACAGTCTCTGGGAAAGAAGAGTGATATTGACTGTCAGCCAGAATTACAAAGGTTAGGAAAAAAGGATACATGCTCTACTTTGAAAGGAGAGGTGATAAAAAATTTTTTAAAAACCAACCCCCAAACAGGAGCTTGATTGGTCTCGAAAACACAGGGAAGATTAGGGGCAAAATTACCGTTAGGTAATAGGGTAAAACAAGACAGTTTAGAGCTAACTTGGGCAGATAGTGAAGTGTAGGGGCCAGTGCTGCATCACTTTCTGAGAAAGGAAAGACTGAAGGCTGTAATTGCAGAGGCTTGTAAGAAATGGTGAGGTCAGAGGAGAAATTCAGGAGATAAAAGGGTGGTAGTGGGGATTGGGAAGGAAGTCAGCAGTGGTGATTACCCATCAGTTTCATGTGTGAGCATTGGATTTTGTAGGCATGCTTAATCCCTTGAGTATTTCTTTAATTTTGTTTCATGTTCTTGTGCTATGCTTATGTTTGGCACACTAGTAGTACGATATTTAATGCTTTTTAATCTGATGGTTCTTGTATATCATTTTGTGGTTACAACAGAAAAAAATGAGAGGATGCATAGACTTCTAGTTTAACAGGTGGCTTTTGGGGACATTGCTTTGATTTGCAGTCAAGCCCTGCTTACTTTTTCAAAAGTAATTCTAATCTGTCACGCCAGAACCTTAATCCTCTGTTAGGTAGTTGTTAAATTGTGTCTTTTGTCTGAAATACCATAACAACGTCCACATAAATAAACCTGGCTATTAACCTAATTGAATTGAGGCTTTCAATGGCTTCTACTACAAGAATGCTTTCCAAGAGACTTCTTCAAATTTACTAAAACTTTATTTTGCATTAGTGCTTTCAAAAACACCTAAGTTGGACTGTTAGCAAAAGCTCCTCTAGCCTGAAGAAAGTTCTTGAATGTCTGCTTGATTTTCAAATCCTAAAATACTAAGTAGAGACCTTGAGATTTTTTTTTTTCATTTAAGAAATTGGAGGAATTTCTCTCCCTCTCTATAGCTCACTTCTCAATTTAGTTTAAATCAGAAAAGGGGCAGCTGCTTATTTTGTTCTCTTTCTTAGAGAGTTGACTCCTAATTGGAGTCCTAACACTTGTGTCAGATTTATGGAACAATGTGATTTGCAGTTCATAAAGAGACATTATGAGATCATCTTTACTCCCATTAATCCTCAGCCTAGGAACATTCTCAACTACTTGATCTCAGCTGTATTACCAGTAAGTTATGTTTCGATAATGGCCTCTTGGTTTACTTAAGTTGGGCATGGAGATGGCCACATAGAAGTTTGCAGCTTTTGGGGGATATTACACATTAGTAAATGTTGAATCTGCCTCCAAAGAGAGAAGCCAATTTGTTTCCCCTTTAATTTTAGTTACTTTTATTTTTACCTGGCCTGCTCTTTGAGGAGAAGTCAATTGGAAGAGGGTTAACAAGAATGACATGGTAATCTTAATGACTGAGTTGGTATTTCCTTTCTATTCCGTAACAGTCTTGTTATGAGTCTGAGTCCAACTTCCCTCTGGTCCTGTTTACCCCATTATAACCTGTCTGTTTATTCAGTTAGGAACTGAACTTTGAGTTAGGAAGATGTTTGATTTGCTCTTGCACCAAATAATTAGTGTGTAGTACGCAAAGAAGGGCTATCCTTTAATCATTTTTTTGGCTTTGTCCTCCTTTTATTCCTTCTTTCACTTATGAATTGCTAATAGAAACTTTTGTACAGATGCCTTGATTTCCATAGTTTAAAAATGTATAACTTGTTGAAAATGCTAACATGAAATGGATACTTTCTTTACTAGTTTTATTTGTGGTGCTTTGATTAGGACCTATACACTCTATTAATAAGACTGCTAGTTCGCCTGACCATATTTCACATTGTCTATACTTACCTTTAGTTATTTGTGAACAATAGTTTAACAGCTTGAAAAACATTTAACTTCTAAAATCGAATCTATTATATTAAGTGGCATATAGTAAATGGTGTATTTACTAATGCATATTCAGTTGTAGCAGGTCCTGATGGGGACAGTGGTTAAGCACTAGGCAGTTCAAGGTAGGCAGTTCAAACCCATCAGTCACTCCCAAGGGAGACCAAACCAAAAAACAAACTTGCTGCCCTCCAGTCAATACTGACTGATAACGACTTCTTACGGGTTTCCGAGACTGTTTACTGGAGTAGAAGGCCCAGTGGAGCTGCTGGTGGTTTTGATCTGCCGACCATGCAGATTGCAGTCCACTATACCTCCAGGGCTCCTTCCCAAGTGAGTCAGATGAGGCTAGAGATTTACAAACTTAGTAGTAACTCTGTGCAGTAGTTGTACTTTGTTGTAGGGTTGCTATGAGTTAGAATTGACTGGAAGGTCTTAACTACCTTTACCAGTATTTCTTTGATCAAAAAAATCATAATACCTCAGAAAAGATAAATCAGAACTGAAAATAGACCCGAGAAAAGAAAAGAAAATGATTGGAGGGATGTAGGTATTGTTTCATTTACAAGGAACCTGGTCGCTCAGCGGCTAACTGGAAGGTCAGTGGTTTGAATCTACCAGTGGCTTCTCCAGAGGAAAGATCTGGGGATCTGCTCCCATAAAGATTACAGCTTAAGAAACCCTCTGGGACTGCTCTGACCGGTCCCATAGGGCTGCTATTTGTTAGAATAGATTTGACGACACACATGGCAACAGACAGGTACTGTTTTGTAAGGATGGCTATATGGAGATATAGATAGATACACATGCATGGATAAAAGGAAGCTTCAAAAAGCTCAAGGAAAGCAAATTAATAGGTAGTAGGATTCTTCTGTGAAGTTTGGGAAGCAAACGAATATGTAATGAGAAGACACGCTGAGGGAGAGTTCTCCATATGTTCTTTTCCAACCAATCTCAGAATTGTAGAACTGAGGCAACACTGGAACCTTAGATGCAGTCATTTTCACATAAAAGAAAAGTCTCTGTAGAGTTCCTATAGTTGACCACATAAAAGCTAACTATTGCTGCATTAACAAACCACCCCAGACTTAGTATCTTTAACAACAAAAAAACAGTTTTATGGGGACATAAGACTTGTATCATACAACTGAATAGTTTAAGCATATCCAAACTTAGTATCTTAAAAAAAAGTTTAATATGTCCTTTAATTCTGTGGATAATAACTTTTTTCCAGTTGATGTTGGCTGGGGTACTGGCATAGCTGGAATATTTAAAATAGCCACACTCATTGCTGACCACTGCCTGAGTTCATTTGGGGTTAAAGACCTTCAGTTCCGATTTTATGTGAACGCTCTTCATGTGGCTGCCTAGAATTTTTAAAAGCATGGCAGCTGGGTTCTAAAAAAAGGAGCTTTTAAGGAGACAGGGAGTGGAAGCCGCCAGTCCTCTTCAATCTTGGGTTGGTTCAAAACCAATCAAGGCCAGCCCTGAGTCAGAGGGAGGAGACATAATCTCTATCTATTGTGCAGAGTTGGAAGCACCTTTGGGAAGGAGGATTTGCTGGAGGCCACCTTTAGGGTGCCTTTATGCTCAGGCAAAGTGCGAATGTGATTAACCAAGTTTGTGGTAATAACATTAGGAGGGCATTGAGAAACTTAACTTCTTCAAGAATTAACATGATCTGCATGAAGTGCCCTGATGTCACCTTCTGATGGTGTTAACAGTAGCTGTAATACTGAAGTTAAATAAATAATACGATGCAGTGACTCATCCTATTTAAGAAACATATGCATTTTAAAACAATAAGTTGTACTTAAAGGTACACATTCAGATTTAAAATTTTAAAATACTGTAGTGGACTTTTCTTGAAATCAGTGATATTTGAGATTTATCACCTGGTTGGCTGGACATTTGAAACTGGTCGTTTAAGTTATCAAAATACTATATATCCCTATCTTGCCTCCAATTTAAATTAGCCTTTAAACTGTCTCTTCTGGATACTATTATATAGGCTTTGAGGAATGAAATGACAGAAAGTGGCACTTCTTTGCGCTAATTTTTTTGATTTATGTTTGTAATTGATTTGTATCATTAGAAATGAATTGCTGCACAGAGTGAGAATTCTCCTTTGAATCATCAGATATTTTCAATGGCTAAATTGGAAAATGAACTTTCAAAAGAGATTCCTTATTCTATATTATTAGTATATTTAAGTCCTAAATAAAGGAGGTAGATGATTTGTTTTTCTCTCTTGCTAAAGAGTATGTTATGTAAACTTTTGAGTAGATGTGGATACAAATTTTTGTATGGTAAATGACATTAAAACAAGAAAAATAATGAAAA